TTAATTATTGTCTCATTAACTTGTAAATGTTTGATGCGCTTATTGCGATGTATTGAAAAAAAAGATCCAAATAGTGTCCGTAGATAAATGGTTTTGCCACCATATTTTTTGATTGAACGACGAAATTTTTGTACGATTCATTAAAACTGAACCGTGATAAAAACATTAGAAGGTAAAACCATTCTCTCCAAGGTGTATTAAACAAGGTGGTGTTGGGGCGACAGCTGAGTTTTTCGCCGTGGAGGCCATTACGTCAAAATGATGTGTTTGTTGTAACTCATACCAATGACAGTATGGACATCAGCGTATAATTTGTTAGTGTAATTTTTAACTTATATACGGCCAACACCACCTTGTTAAATACGCCTTGGAGAGAACCGTATTTACTCTCTTTTTTGTCCTCTCAATAGTCAGAGAACGGAGTACGGGATCGATTTCCAGTAAAATCTGACTGATTCTTACTATTTCTGACTAGTCCGGACTCGTACGGGATCGCAACTATTATATCGCTCGCGATCTCGACGGTGCACGTTGCATCCGGCACAATTCAACAATGTTGAATTGCTGTGCAACTTCTTCACTTGGACCGCAGATATCAATATACCATGCCTTCCCATGAAGACGGTTATCTCCTCGATCTTGCTCTGAAGTCTGAAGTGAAGTGAATTTGGTTCGGGACACGTGTTGTTATGCGGGGTGTGAGGGATGTGTGTGGCCTTGCCGCCATTGGCTGTGTGCGCTGCTTTGGAGGTTGCCGCCCTGTGGTTGTAGTGGGTGGCGTCGCAATTGTGGTTTGCGTCCGAGCGGCGCACTTGACTGATGTCACGTTACGGAATAGGAGTTGTTGGCGGCGGCGTGTGGGTGGTGGTGCGGTTGTGTAGTCTGTTGTGGTTGTGGCGGGGTCTATTGTGTTGTTATGTTGCGGTGCTGTGGTGTTAGTGTTGAGCTGCTCAGGTGGACTGGGGTTAGCCGTGAAGGCTGCTCTGTTTGAGCAACAAGGGGCCACAAATGATGTGGTCAATGCCGATGGGTCCATAGTCCTGAGCAAACTTTGAGGTGATTCCACCCGTCGCAAGCATTGCGCTTGACTGAGGCGCAGTTGTGGTGT